GGGGGGGTTCAGGAGGGTTTTGGGTGCTCAGTGCAGTCCAGAGGGATTCAGGGTGGCCCGGAGGCATTCCGGGGGGGTCCATGGGGGTCTCACAGCCCCCCTTTCCCCCCTCAGCCATGACCCAGCGGGACGTGCCGGGCTTTGCCATCGGGGGCCTGAGCGGGGGCGAGGACAAGGCGCGGTTCTGGCGCGCGGTGAAGTTCAGCGCCGAGCGCCTGCCCCGGGACAAGCCCCGGTACCTCATGGGCGTGGGGTGAGTCACTCCGGGGGTGGGATCACTCCTGCCACCCCCCCCCCCGGGGTGGGGAGACCCCCTGAGTCACCCCCTCTCCCCGATTTCCCCCCCCAAACCAGCTACGCCACCGACCTGGTGGTTTGCGTCGCGCTGGGCTGTGACATGTTCGACTGCGTGTTCCCCACCCGCACCGCGGTAAGGGGGGGTCTGGGGGGGGGGGTTAGGGGACCCCAGGAGGCCCTGGGGGGGTGGTTAGGGGACCCCTGCACCCCTCTCCTCCCCAGAGACCCCTTTGACCTCCCCGTGTCCCCCCCCCCGGCAGCGTTTCGGCTCCGCCCTGGTGCCCTGGGGGTCCCTGCAGCTGAAGAACCAACAGTTCGCCAAAGATTTCCGCCCCATCGACGAGGACTGCGCCTGCCCCACCTGCCAGAGGTGGGCTGGGGGGGTCCGAGGGTGGGCCCAGGGGGGTGTTTAAGGGGTCTAGAGGGGTCTGACCCCCCTCGGTGCCCCCCCTCAGGCACAGCCGGGCCTACCTGCACGCGCTGCTCCGCTCCGAGACGGCCGCGCTGCATCTGCTCACCCTGCACAACGTCGCCTACCAGGTGGGGCCGGGGGTCCCTGAATTGGGAGTTGGGGGGTCTCTGAGGGTCTCACCCCCCCTCTAACACCTTCCTCCCCACTTGCAGATGAAGCTGATGGGCTCCATCCGGGAGAGCATCCTGAGGCAGCGCTTCCCAGAGTTCGTGCGGGAGTTCATGGACACCATGTACGGGGGGCGGGGGGGGGCCCCCGACTGGGTCAGGGAGGCTCTGGCCTCTGTGGGCATCACCCTGGACTGACAGGGACCCCCCCTCAATCCCAGGGGGACCCCCAAGCTTCTCCTGTGCCCCCCAATCCCAGGGGGGACCCCTAGACCCCCCTTGTGGCCCCCAATCCCAGGGGGGACCCCCAGACCACCCCTTGTGCCCCCAATCCCTGGGGAACCCCCCAGAACCCTCTATGCCCCCCCAGCCCCCCTCGTGCCCCCCAGTCCCTGGAGGGACCCCCATGCCCCCCAGAGGCCCCTCCATTTGTCCCTCTTTTGTGTCCCCCCATGTGTATTTTTATACTTTTTATGTGCTTTTTTTACTGCTTTGGGTTTTTTTAAGGGAGGGGGGGAAATAAAGCCTTTGGGGGGAACAGCTCGTGTGGCTCCGAGTGGGGCTGAGGGACCCAGATGGGTCTGGGGGGGGCCCAAATGGGTCGGGGGGACACATTTTGGGAACTCAGGAATGTCAGGGGGGGACCCTCAGGGGTCCCAGGGCTCTGGGAGGGGATGGGGACATTCCCATTCCCACGGTGACCCTTTGGATGTGCTGGGAGGTGACAGTGATGGACCAGGATCCCCTCAGCGTTGGGGGGGGACAGGAGGGGGTCCCTTGAGGGTCTGAAGGCTTGAGGGG